TAGAAAGCCTACACTACAGAACATCTTCAGCAAAATCTTCCATCAAGAGGAAAAAAAACAATAATGAAAATTAGCAAAGAGAGGTATTACACTAAAGGAAATACTAATCAAAGGAGAAACCAAGTCAAGTTAAATACCAAAAATAAACAAAAATGGCTGGGAATACAAATCATGTCTCAGTATTAACTCTGAATGTTAATGGCCTAAACACATCAATCAAAAGACATAGACTGGCAGATTGGATTAAAAAAAGTAGACCCAACAATATGCTGCCTCCAAGAGACTCATCTCATAAAAAAAAGACATCAACAGACTGAAGGTGAAAGGTTGGGAAAAATTTTACCACTCACGTGGTCTGCGGAAGCAAGCAGCAGTTTTCAACTTTATATCAAATAAAGAAAACTCCAAGCCAAAGTTAATCAAAAAGTATAAAGGAAGATATTTAATACTGCTTAAGGGATCCATTCATCAATAAGACATAACAATAATAAATTTATATGCCCCCCAAAAATGGAGCATCTACATTCATCATACAAAGTCTTCTCAAGTTCAAGAGTCAAATAGACCACAACACAATAATTCTGAGTGACTTTAACACACCTCTTTTACCACTGGATAGATTATCCAAACAAAAGCTGAACAAAAAAACTATAGAACTCAATAACACAATCAATAACTTAGACTTAACTGATGTATATAGAAAATTTCATCCTTCAATGAGCGAATACACTTTCTTCTCAGCAGCACATGATCCTTCTCTAAAATAGACCATATATTATGCCACAAATAAACTCTTAGCAAATATAAAAAAGGAGATACTACCATGCATTCTATCAGATCACAATGGAATAAAATTAGAAATCAATGATAAAATAAGAAATAAAAGCTGCTCCAACCCTAGAGACTAAATAATATGCTTCCGAATGAACAATGGTTTGTAATAGATATCCAGGAGAAGACTAAAAAATTCTTAGAGATGAATGAAAACATAGATACAACATATCAAAATCTCTGGGACAATATGAAGGCCATACTAAAAGAAAAGCTCATTGCATGGAGTTCATTCCATAAAGGAAGAAAAATTCAACAAATAAATGACTTAACATTACATTTCAAATCCCTAAAAAAGAAGAACAAATCAACACCCAAAGCAGTAGAAGACAGGAAATAATTAAAATCAGAGCTCAATTCAATGAAATTGAAACAATAGAAACAATTTTAAAAATTGACAAAACAAAAAGTAGGTTCTCTGAAAAAATAAATAAAGTTGACAAACACTTAGCCATGCTAACAAAGGAAAGAGAAAACTCAATATAATTACTAATATATGTGATGAAAAAGGAACTATCACAGACACTACAGAAATAAGAAGATAATTAGAAATTATTATGAAAATTTGTACTCCAGTAAAATAGAAAATATCAAAGGCATTGAGAAATTTCTAGAGTCACATGATTTGCCTAAATTGGATCAAGATGATATACACAATATAAATAGATCTATTTCAAGTTTGATGAAATAGAAGATACCATCAGAAGCCTACCAACCAAGAAAAGTCCAGGACCAGATGGATACATAGCCAAGTTCTTCAAGACCTTTAAAGAAAAACTAATACCAATACTCTTCAATTTATTTCAGGAAATAGAAAGAGGGAATACCTCCAAACTCATTCTATGAGGCCAATATCACCCTGATTCCAAAATAGGCAAAGACACATCAAAGAAGGAAAACTTCAGATCAATATTTCTAATGAAAATAGATGCAAAATTTCTCAATAAAATTCTGACAAATCAAATAAAAAACATATTAAAAAGTTAGTGCACCATAATCAAGTGGGATTTATCCCAGGGATGCAAGGTTGGTTCAACATAAGGAAATCAATAAATGTAATCCATCACATCAATAGACTTAAAGATAAGAACCATATGATCATCTCAACAGATAAAGAAAAAGCATCCAACAAAATACAGCACCCATTCATGTTCAAAACACTAAAAAAACTAGGGATAACAGGAAATATCTCAACATTGTAAAAGCTATCTATGCTAAGCCCCAAGCAAATATCATTCTAAATGGAGAAAAAATGAAAACATTCCCTCTAAAAACAGGAAAAAGACAGGGATGCTGTCTTATATTTAACAGAGTTCTTAAAAAACTGACCAGAGCAATGAGACAGACTAAAGAAATTAAAGGGATACATATAGGAAAAGAAGAACTCAAATTAGCACTATTTGCCAATGATATAATTCTATACCTAGAAGATTCAAAAATTCTATCAGAAAACTTCTAAAACTAGTAAATGAATTCAGCAAAGTAGCAGGATAAAAACTCAACACCCATAAATCAAAGGCATTTCTGTACATCAGTGATAAAGCCTCTGAAACAGAAACAGGGAAAAGTACCCCATTTACAATAGCCTCCAAAAAAAAAAAATACTTGGGAATCAGCCTCACAAAAGAGGTGAAAGACCTTTACAACCAAAATTACAGAACATTAAAGAAAAAAATTAAAGAAGATCTTAGAAGATAGAAAGATCGCCCTTGTTCTTGGATAGGTAGAATTAATATTGTCGAAATGACCATACTACCAAAAGCATCATATAGATTTAGTGCAATTCCAATCAAAATCCCAATGACATTCCTCATAGAAATAGAAAAAGCCATCATGAAATTCATCTGGAAAAATAAGAGACCCAGAATAGCTAAAGCAATCCTTTGTAAGAAGAGTGAAGCAGGTGACATCACTATACCAGACTTTAAACTATACTACAGAGCAAGACTAACAAAAACAGCATGGTATTGGCACCAAAATAGACTTGTAGACCAATGGTACAGAATAGAGGACACAGAGACTAACTCACATAATTACAATTATCTTATATTAGACAAAGGTGCCAAAAACATACATTGGAGAAAAGATAGCCTCTTCAACAACTGGCGCTGGGAAAACTGGAAATCCATATGTAACAAAATGAAATTAAACCCCTATCTCTCACCATGCACACAACTCAACTCAAAGTGGATCAAGTACCTAGAAATTAAATCAGAGACCCTGCATCTAATAGAAAAAAAAGTACACCCACATCTCCATCATATTGAATTAGGCCCCTACTCCTTAATAAGAGTCCTATTACAGAAGAATTAAAATCAAGAATTAATAATGGGATGGATTCAAACAAAAAAGCTTCTTTTCAGCAAAAGAAACAATCAGTGAGGTGAATACAGAGCCTAAGCTTGGGAGTAAATTTTTACCGCTTACAATTCAGATAGAGCACTAAACTCTAGGGTATATAAAGAACTCAAAAAGCTAAACACACACAAAAAAACAAATAACTCAGTCAATAAAGGGGCAAAGGAACTGAACAGACACTTCTCAGAAGATGATATACAATCAATTAACAAATATGTGAAAAAATGTTCAACTCTCTAGCAATTAGAGAAATGCAAATCAAAGCTACTTAAGATTTCATCTCACTCCAGTCAGAATGGCAGCTATCAAGAATACAAACAACAGTAAGTGTTGGCAAGGATGTGGGGGGAAAGGCACACTCATACACTGCCGGTGGGACTGAAAAATGGTGCAGCCAATATGGAAAGCAGTATGGAGATTCCTTGAAAAACTTGGAATGGAACCACCAATGGACCCAGCTATCCCATTCCTCAGTCTATATCCAAAGGACTTAAAAACAGCATACTACAGGGACATAGCCACATCAATGTTTATAGCAGCACAATTCACAATAACTAAACTGTGGAACCAATCTAGATGCATTTCAGTAGATAAATGGATAAAGAAAACGTGGTATATATACATAATGGAATATTACTCAGCAATAAAAGAGAATAAAATCATGGCATTTGTATGCAAATGGATGATGTTGAAGAATATAATGCTAAGTGAAGTTAGCCAAACCCAAAAAAACAAATGCCAAAAGTTGATTCATAGTGGCATTGGGAGTGGGAGCAAGGGAGGATTAGATGAACTCTAGATAGGGTAAAGGGGTGGGAGGGGAAAGGAGGGCGCATAGGGGTAGGAAAGATGGTGGAATGAGATGGATATCATTACCCTAAATTCATGTATGAAAACACGAATGGTGTGAATGTACTTTGTATACAACTAGAGATATGAAAAATTGTGCTCTATATGTGTAATATGAACTGTAATGCATTCTGCAGTTATATACAACAAATTAAAATAAAAAATAAAATTAAAAAAATACATAGCCTGATTAAAAAATGGGGAAAGGATCTGAATGGATGTTTTTCAAAACAAGAAATTAAAACATCAAACAGACAATTGTAAAACTGCTCAACATCATTAATACCAGTAAAACACAAATGAAAACCACAATGAGATCCCAGCCCATCTGTGAGGATGGCTATTATCAATAAGACAAAGGAGAACAGAAGTTGCTGAGGATGTGGAGAAAAGGGAGCCTTGTAGAACAGCTGGGGGGATGTGAAGTGCTGCAGCCATCATGGAAAACAGCAGGAGGATTTTCAAAAGAAGAGAAGAATCCTGAGCTTCTAAAGGCTGCCCTATCAGCTCTGTCACTGACTGGCTGTATGATCTTCAGCCACTTATTAGATCCTCATGCATTACAATTCTTTACTGCATAAATATAGAAGAAAGTAGTACCTAGTTTCCATGAGTCTCAGAATTAAATTGGTAATGCAAGAAAATAATCTGGAACTGTACCTGGTGTAGGACGTGAATGTTCAATGTCTGTTAACAACTGCTCCTCATCATCCACAATGTTACTATCGGCACACACCAGTTACCATCAACATATAGTATTAATCCACCATATCCAATTGAATATTATCTTACCCATTTGAGGTATGATACACTTCATAAAAACAAGGTTATTTCCTTTTATATTATACCTACTTACTTGGCACAAAAAATATATATATACATATATATATATACTTTTTGAAAAATAAAAGAAATGGTTAGTTTTACCTGAATTCCTAGTTGCAAATTCTCTTTCGGAAAAACTATTTTCAGTTTATTTAAGAGTGTCTAATGAATAGTGCATATAAAATGTTATAAATGTCAATATATTGCCATTCTCTGCTTTGTTTCACAAATAGTGCTGTGAGCATAGAGTTTGAGACATAGCAACACCGACCCTGTGACCACACTCTGTTGGCCATCGCTATCTCCTTATTCCTCACCTTCACTCCTTTCCTGGGCACTAGCTTGTAGTCAAATTCCACCTTCTTCTTTGCTTCTAAGTAGAGCCTGTGGCCTCCAGGAACAGAGAATGCTCCTCTTGAGATGCTTTGCATCAGGGCCTCTGAAAGCTGCTCCAGCTGAGCCTGGCAGTATTTGACAGATGCCTCTTCATTCCGCAGCAAGAGAGCTTCCTTCTTTCTCTCTGTGGTTTCCTGGAAGGAAAATGTAGGGAAGTAAAATAATAAGTTGTTAGAAGGAAGGTCCAGTGGGGATCCTCTCAGAAGAAGCCTTCTGACAGCCTCAGAGTGGGTCTAAGACCTGGAAATGAGTTGGGAGATATGCTTCCATTGATCGCAGGTTTGATCAATTCTCTGTGCAACTGAAAATCGCTTTAATGCCCCTGTGGTTAAGTTCTATCTCTGTAAAACAATGGAGATGGAAGACATGATGTTGGTGGTTTATTTAGCTAGGATATTAACAGTGAGCCCAAACCCTAATAGTCACTAATAACAAGTGAATTTTTAGAAGGAGGGGAAGGAAGAGGATGATGAGGATAGTCACTAATAAAAAGTAAATTTGTGAGGGAATGTGGATTTCTGTGGTTGAAATTATATCCATGGCAAACAATGTTGAAGGAGTGAATTGAGTGTATTCTGAACAGAATTTTGAAAGCTTCATAAATTCTTTCAGGGAGGGTTTGAATGTGGGAGGATACAGGGATAGATTTATTGATTTATTGACTGTTTGCTGGTTTTTGTAAATTAAAATCCAGTGGAATTTTTCTAAGATTTTTATACTGTTGTGTCAGTTCCAGATCGACTGAAGGACAAACTTCCAGTGAAGGTGCAGAATTAGGCAGTCCCTGACAGTTTTCTCCCTTAGTGTCCACACCCTGCCTTGTCCCTGGGCCTGTGAATGTGATGAATATTAATCCTATGATTATGTTACATAGCACAGGTTAACTTTAAAAAATTGAGAGTACTCCATTGGGCATCACCTAATCATATAAGCTTTTAAAAGCAATTTTCTCTGACTGTGGCATAGAGGAAATCAGAGAGACTACAGAAGAATTTCATTGCTTGAAAGTGGAGAAGGCTTCCCCAGAGCACCAACATGAGAACTAAGGTCAAGTCACTCCTTGTTTTCCATGGATGGTGCACTGAGCAGAGCAGTCTGTGCAAAGATCTGACTATGAGCTAAGACATTCTTATTGTGTTAAGCTGCTAATCACTGGATAATTTGTCTTGCAGCAATACTAAATTAAGGGTGAACAGTATCCTGAAGAGCCCTGTTGCCCACAAAAATAAATAAATAAATAAATACAAATAAGTAAAATAGGTTCTTTCTATGATGAGAATGATGCAAACTCTGGAATCAAAAATATGGAGTCAAGTCTCATTCCAGAAGGAGAGGAATAAGGAAGGATGAATAAAAATTCAATTACAATAAGCTTCTTCTGGAACTCATGATTGTCGTCCTTGAAGGAGTGCTCCATGAAGACTGCGATGGCTTCCTTCTCACAGGCTGTGTGCACCTCCAGCAGCTCCTGGAGTGTGTCTGTGGGGAACTGCACCTGCTGGGCCATCTGCTCACTGTAGTGGTCGGCTGCCTTCTGCACGGCTGCTGAGTTCTCACGCTGGGCCAGAGTGGTCACTGCATTCTCCAAGCAAGGAATGGTTCCTTTGTTGATGGCATTCACGTAGGTTTCCACCAGAGTCCCCAACCCTAAGTGACAGGGAATACGTGGGAAGTCTTACCCATCATTTTTACAGACTTTAAGCATTGTCTTTACAATAACAACAAACACTCTATTTATCTCAATGTTTTCTTCTGTACTTCTTTCTTGTTCTTCCTTGGTTATCTCCTCTCTGAATTAATCACAATTTAATAACACTGTTTTTCCTATACACTCCTTCTTTTATAGTTCTCACATTACCTCATTAAGTAATTACTAATTGCAACCAAGAGGTTTTTAGTGTTTCCTAGAAAAATACTTTCCTATTTAAATAAAGTAAAAGAGTCTATCATAAAGTAAATTACATAATTTGTGAGTCTTGATTTAAAATAAAAATGAAAGTTTCCTTGTAAAAAATATTATCAAAAATTTACAGAAAGCAACATAGAGTTTGGAAACAAACATAGGCCCACATCGAGACTTCATGATTGCTTGGAACACATGCTCCTGAAACCAGTGCTGTTTAAATTTGTTTCTCAAACACAATGAGCTGGCCTGGGACTCATGACCTGCTGATTCTTTTCTGACTAGTTTCAACTCATAAAATATCTTGTATATTCTCACAGGGATACATTCAATCCTATGGGACTTTCCCTCTACTTGCAGATTTCTCTCCTTAGTAGTAGCTTCTGATGAGTATACTTCCTTAGGGTGCTCATTTTGTGAGATGTGTTGGACTTCAACAAGTCCTCAGATATGAAAACTTTAAGGAAAATGCATTTCTTTTTTTTTTAATTTTTTATTGTTGGTTGTTCAAAACATTACATAGTTCTTGATATATCATATTTCACACTTTGATTCAAGTGGGTTATGAACTCCCATTTTTACCCCGTATACAAATTGCAGAATCACATCAGTTACACATCCATTGATTTACATATTGCCATACTAGTGTCTGTTGTATTCTGCTGCCTTTCTTATCCTCTACTATCCCCCTCCCCTCCCCTCCCCTCCCCTCCCCTCTTCTCTCTCTACCCCCTCTACTGTCATTCATTTCTCCCCCTTGTATTATTTTCCCCTTTCCCCTCACTTCCTCTTGTATGAAATTTTGTATAACCCTGAGGGTCTCCTTCCATTTCCATGCAATTTCCCTTCTCTCTCCCTTTCCCTCCCACCTCTCATCCCTGTTTAATGTTAATCTTCTTCTCATGCTCTTCGTCCCTACTCTGTTCTTAGTTACGCTCCTTATATCAAAGAAGACATTTGGCATTTGTTTTTTAGGGATTGGCTAGCTTCACTTAGCATAATCTGCTCTAATACCATCCATTTCCCTGCAAATTCTATGATTTTGTCATTTTTTAATGCAGAGTAATACTCCATTGTGTATAAATGCCACATTTTTTTTTATCCATTCATCTATTGAAGGGCATCTAGGTTGGTTCCACAGTCTTGCTATTGTGAATTGTGCTGCTATGAACATCGATGTAGCAGTGTCCCTGTAGCATGCTCTTTTTAGGTCTTTAGGGAATAGACCTAGAAGGGGAGTAGCTGGGTCAAATGGTGGTTCCATTCCCAGCTTTCCAAGAAATCTCCATACTGCTTTCCAAATTGGCTGCACCAATTTGCAGTCCCACCAGCAATGTACAAGTGTACACTTTTCC